CTGCAGGGTCCAGTACAGCGCCTTAAAGGGACTTTTTTTTTTTTCTTTAAAGAGAGATATTTGCTATAGGGTGTGTGTGCTTGTTGGAGTCACAAAGAGAGAGTGAGAAGTCACCCCCTGGGGGATAGCCACACCACAATCCCTTGTCCTCCATTCTCCTTTTGGGATTTTGTGCGCGCGCGCATGCACACACACACACACACACACACACACACACACACCTGGCACGAGATTCAAGCTGCTGGATCTGGGACCAAACCACAGTTGAGTTCAGAGCCATAACCACTACACCACCTGCTGGCCCCAAAGAAACCATTTTAACTGTAGGAAATAAGTTGTGTTTGTGCTAGCGCAATTTTATGAGTATGTCACTAAAAAAGCTGTTTTTATTGAAGCACAAGTTGTGACACCTTGATTAAGGCAACAGCTGACTTGGAAAGTTTAAGCTCGGTCCTGTTTCGAAGAGTTCAGGGCACACAGGAGAGACGTTTGGAACTCCCTCTCCTTTACCGTGTGTCCTCCTGTAAGTAGAACCTCCTTCACTTTCCTTCCAGGCCTGTGGACAGAAGTTCAGCAACTTCTGAGTGGTGCTGCAGGTGTCTGTGACTCGTAGGGAGCGTTGTGTGGCCCGCGACAGTGGGTGACGAGGACAGAGAGGGCATGCCCTCCTCTCCACTTCCACCAGAGCACGCAGGGCTTCTTTTTCCTCTTTCATATTTTGTGTCCTCACTGATAAAATTTTAAAACTCCTGGTCTGGAGTGAAAGATGGTTAGATGCTTGCAGCTCAGAGCCTGTCTTGATCACTTTTAGTGTCTAAAGTGTCCTCCTCTCTGGACATGTTCAGGCCAAGTTCGCAGGAGCCCCCCCGTGCCACCTTGGAGGGAGAGGTCGGTAAGCTGCCATGTCCACGTCCAGTCCCTGTCAGAGAACACTTCCTGCAGATCGGTGGCAGTCACTTCTGATAGCTTTTCCCAGTAGTTCAAACAAGCAAACAAACACACTCAGGAAGTCACTAGTAATGAGATGAAATCCTGTTTGCTGCTCATCTCTGGAAAGCACGGCTGCCCAGGACAAAATGACCGCAAAGCTGGGGTCGGTGTGGAGCCAGGCTGAGCCCTGAGTGCCGAGAGGGATCAGCGTGGGGCCAGGCCGAACCCTGAGTGCTGAGAGGGATCAGCGTGGGGCCAGGCCGAACCCTGAGTGCCAAGAAGGATCAGTGTGGGGCCAGGCCCAACCCTGAGTGCTGAGGAACTCCTGAGACCTGCATGACTTTATTTTGTCCTCCAGAAAGCAGAGCCATTTACCAGATGAAATGGTTACTGGAATTTTTCTGCTCAGCAAATATGAGGACACTTGAAGACGTGTTAGGAGAGGGCTGTAGACCCAGAGCAGATCCCAAAGGCCAGTTGCAGTTCAAACCCAGCCCAGGTGTCTTGAAAAACGCCCACCCTGTGCATGCCTAACATCCAAAATATTGGGGATATGGAGAAGGAATTGCAGAGAGACTGTGCCACACTGGGTGTGCTTTTTCTGTCTCCCTCTTTCTGTCACTCTGGTGAGCACACACGCCCTCTGACAATTAAAAAAAAAAAATTGAGGGGTCTGCAGGGGGCATGGTGGTTAAGGCACTGGACTCCCACATGGCAGACCATGGTTCAAGTCCTGGACCTGGTGACTTGTTTTCTTAACTTCTCTTTCTCTCTCTCAAATTAAAACTAAATAATAAAGGGCAAGCAGGTGACATAGTGGTTAAGATGCTGGGCTCCCACATGACTGACTGGTTCGAGTCTCAGATCCAGCTTGAAACTTGTGCAGGGTGCATGCGCATTGCACCCAAAACCTGGGAGGAGAATGAAGGGGGAGGGATTGCAGCGTGGCCATCTCCTTGGATGGGCAAGTTCTCATTTTCTCTCTCTCTGTCTCTGGTGAGCGCATGTGCCTTATAGCAAAAATCTCTCTAAAATTAATTAATTCATTAATTATTTAATTAAAATAGACAATTTTTAAAAATTGAACTCTGTGCATAGCTTTGCATGATATGCATTTTCCACAACCTTTTGAGGACCGTTGTGAAGTCATGTTCTCAGCGCACAGCCGAGGGCCCTGCTCATGCAGACGCTCCACGCTCCAGCAGTGTAGACTTGGAGCAGTCGGTCCCACTCTTGTGGACCCTCTGTGCATGGAGATGCCAGGTTACACTGGGTCCTCACAGCTTCCACACCCTCCCCACGTGAAAATGTGATTTTGGAAATGGATCATGGAGGGTTCTGAATCCTAGCTTGGTCCATTATATGCCTGTTTTTTTTTTTCATTTTAAAAATAATACATATATATGTATATACACTATATAGTTCATGTAAGACTGACCGATTAAATTCTCATGCTAGCCCAGTCGTTAAACCTTGACCTCAGGGTATCATTCTTTTTCTTTTTCTTTTCAGGTTTTTGCCACAGAGTGTGTGCACTCACCAGAGAGAGAGAGGGGAAGTGAGAAGCTGCCCCTGGGTGACCATCTGCACTTTCTCCTCTTCCATTGTCCTCTCAGGGTTTTGCACGTGTGGCTGGCGTGATATTCAAGCTGCCAGGTTCAGGGCTCAAACTGCGCTCAACATGTGGGGATCTAATGCCACCATCATGCCACCTGCTGACCCCTCTTAGGGTATCAGTCTATTAAAAAGTTCTTTAAGGGGCTGTGTGATTGGTCACTATTTGATATTCCATGTTTTATTGTCTTGTTCGCCCACGTGTGAATGTGTCCACGGAGGGCACTTTACTGAATCGACTGGTAGCCCTAATTTGCAAAAATGAATAAATCATTATTAAAAGTATTGTGACTACTCAAAAATTTTAAATTATTCAACATGGCAATGAAACTCATGTTTGGGAAGCAATATTTAGTTTCAGAATTTCTTCTAACCCTTGGAACTAGCATTGGTAACTAAGGGACAAAAATAAAGCCACTCAGCCTCCATTGGGGTCTCTGTTCCATAGAGTGAGTTGACATGCTTGAATGAGTCAACGCAGATATTTATCCTTCTCCCAGAAAGTATAAATCGGGATGAAATCCGTGTGGCAGCAGTCCAAAAGGAGTTCTTTGTCCTTGTAACACCACTTTTCAATGCTTTTTACTTCCCTAAAGTAAAGTAGACTTAAAGTCCCAAGTGAACTGCACAGTGTCCTAGCTGGATTTACATAACAGTGTCTAAAATATTGTTTTTAGTTACCGAGCGATGTTTATCAATTAAACCAGTTCCTTTACTGCCCACATGGGAAACGTACAGGGAGTGAGCAGTGTCCCCTGTTACAGTAGTTACGCCGGGTCGACCATCTCACTCTCCACGGTGACCACACTGACAAGGTCGTCTATCTGGGGACTAACTTCCATCGGGATGTTCCAGGGGACCTGAGGAGAAGAAGACATTATTGCCCATCGCCCATGTCTTCAAGTCGGCTGGGGACCCCGCCCTCCTACACACGTCTGTGTCGACGGGCTTTACCGTGTTCTTGGTTGTGCCTGGCAGGGTGGAGTGCTCAGTGGCCAGCCAGGCGCCCTTGTAAGGCACAGAATCCCCAGAAACGGTGTCTGGGAGAAGCACCTTTGCTTACAGATGTCACACAGCAGCCCAGACTGGCCTTGGGCTCGGGTGGCCAGGGCTGCCGATGCCACCACAGTGGCTCCACTTGGATTGCTCTGAGCCAGGGGATGCTGCGGCCTTTTCCACAGCGGCCATAAGTTTCTCTCCATCTTTACCAGCACGTGGTCAGTCATAGCATGGCAACCGAAGTAGAATGACCCACTGATTGCGCCATAATCACCATGGAAACTTGTCACCACTCCCTGGACACTTTTTACATGGCTGTCACCTTTCGGGAGCCCGGCCTGCCATGGCTGCTGCTCCTGGGCGGGGTCTGCCCTCCTTCAGAAGGAGTCCACGGCTTGTCGCAGAAGCCTGAGCATGTGTCCTCGTCACCGCAGACCTCTGGAGGCCCTCCAGTCGCAGTGGCTGTCCGGGAGTGGCCTCCGGCTTCTCTCCTTAGCATCTGTGAAACGGGACTGAACTGCCAATGAGCAGCCCAAGGGAATCTCACAGAAAAGCCCCTCTATCGCTTCTCAGCAGGAGCAGGGTCCGAGCCCTCAGGCACGTAATGGCGCTTACAGCAGTCCCGGTAGGGGCCTCACTCACCTTTAAAAGAGAAATGTGGCCATTAGCCGTTGGTTCTGGCCTGGGGTCGAGGATGGCATTCTCCAACTGTCAGCGCGATTTCCATGTGGGAATACGCCAAAGAGCAGGACAGTGACTCACACCTGACAGCGTCCCGTGGGAAGTCAGGAGCACAGAACTGCCCTGGAGAAAGCCCCTCCCACTAACCGTTAGACTCCAGCACACTGCTTATGTATTTGAAACCAAGTTTTTGTTTTGTATGTTCTCTCTGGAAATTGTCCAGAGATGGTCTTAAGAAAAATAATTTAAAAAAATAGGAAAAGAAACCCTTAATTTTTCTTTAAATGAAAATAATTACTTCTTGTTGGTACTGCAATATACTTGAGGAAAATTGTTTTCCCTCTAAAGTCTACCTTATAAAAAATTATTATTGAGAACCAGCTGAGTATTGGACTGTGGTACATTACCACTGTCTAGAACAGCCATCGACTGCCTTCAGCTCTACTCTCTGTAAATGGGAACTTCTGAGGCTGGTTCTTAGAGTTTCATGGCTTGAGGGAGGTTTTCATGCAGATACCACCTAGAATATATGTTTCTTATTTGTCACTTTTCCAACACTGGATACTTTTTTCTAGAGAGAAAAATGGCTTTTCTAACTCTAAAATTCCACTAATTGCATTATTTGTGCTATTGTTTCTTAAGCTATCTCTTGTTAAGTTTAGGATTGAAAGTTTGTTTTAGCATAAGCTAGCTCATATACTTTTGTATCTAAGTGATCTAAATATTAGTTTGTTGGAAAAGTCATGACTTATGTTTTTCTATGTAAAAATGTGTCATGACTTTTCTGATGACCCAGTAATATAAAGTTTAACTATTAGGTGAAAAATTAATGAATTAGCCTACATTGCCAAACACTTTTAGATCAAATTGTGTACCAAACTTTAAAAATTGAATTGATGGGACAGCAGATGGCATAATGGTTACATCACTGAAATTCCACGTAGTAGACCATGGTTCGAGTCCCAGACAGGCAGCTTAAAACTTGCACTGGGCACGTGTGCATGCACACCCAAAATCCTGAGAGGAGAGTGGAGGAGAAGGGCTTGCGGCAGGCCATCTCCCCTGGGAGTGACTTCTTGCTTTCTATCTCTCTGTCTCTTTCTGTCTCTCTGGTAAGCATACTTGCCCTTAAGCAAAAATCTCTACAAGAAAGGCAGCTTAAAACTTGCACTGGGCACGTGTGCATGCACACCCAAAATCCTGAGAGGAGAGTGGAGATTTTTGCTTTCTATCTCTCTGTCTCTTTCTGTCTCTCTGGTAAGCATACTTGCCCTTAAGCAAAAATCTCTACAAGAAAAAAGAAAAAGAATGATGAGGCTGAGCTATCAGCAGCTGGCTCCCCTCTCTGGTACTGTGAGCAGCTTGCCTGGCCGGTCTTGTGTCCCTTCCTGACTTGGTCACCATGTTTGATTTCTGTCAGACGCGGACTTCGTTCTTTCAGCGCCCCCCACTTTCTGCCTTACTCAGGATTGGTTCTCGTTTCCTTTTCCCCATCATTACTGTGCATTTGAGCACATCCTGTGTGCGGCGTGGTCTGTCAGGCGACCAGATGCTTTTCAGAATGTGTGGAGTAGAAGCAGGGAGAGTTGGCCCAACTAGTCCGCACCCCAACCAGGGCTAGAACCTGTCACTGATCTCGGCCACCTTAACCTTCGCTACCCACTGTGGTCACTTCAGAGTCAGAAGCACCGAGGCCCGGGAGCTGCACCTAGTCTGGCAGTGGCAGTGACTACAGGCTCTCCCTCTCTGTCCCCAGGATGGCTTCACTCCTCTCGCCGTGGCTCTTCAGCAGGGGCACAACCAGGCGGTGACGATCCTCCTGGAGAATGACACCAAAGGGAAGGTGCGACTGCCCGCCCTGCACATTGCAGCCCGGAAGGACGACACCAAGTCGGCTGCACTCCTGCTGCAGAGCGACCACAATGCGGACGTGCAGTCCAAGGTACCCTGGCATGGCAGGCAGGGCGCACGTGGGCGGCCGGAGCCTCGGGGGTGAGTGGGGTGGCCATGGCGGTGTGCACGATTGCTCAGCCATGAGAGGAGGGCGTCCCTGTAGAGGTAACTCAGGAAAGGGGCCTGTCCGTTGGGATGGCAGCGTGAGTACTGCACACGAGGTGGTTTTCTCTTAAGGATGACTTCGGCTGTATAGGAACCCGCTCCTCACCCCATCCACCGTAGACCAGGGTAGGAAAGTGGCAGCACACACGGGCACCTGCGGGGTGCACGCGGCACATGGACAAGCCCTGCTGCACGCAGGCCGTCCGCCCTGACTTCCCTGTGTAACGTCTCCCTTTTCTCCCCACACCGCTTCAGATGATGGTGAACAGGACGACGGAGGTATGGTACCGTGCACGCAGGGTTTCCTCGCTGGGTTTACTTTCAGTTTTGGTCCCATTAGAATAAATGTTCACTAATTGATACTAATAGTCTGAATTTACATTAATGGGAAATTAATTTGGAACATTTTCCCATAATTAAGGCCAACTGATCATTCACAATATTTAATGCAACATATTTAAAACATTACTTATCAATGAAGCTAAAGAATTTTTTAGAATAGAGCAAGAAAGGAAACTTTCTTAGTATATATTTTAATGAGTGAGATTTACCATTAACTTTTTGACAAGAAGGGTTATGATCTTTTTTTTTCATGAGAATTTTCAGGTTAGAATTATAGAAGTAAAAGTCAGGGTAGTTTCTCTGCCACCATTTTTTTTTAGTTTTTTTTTTTTTTTAAACCATGTTGCATATAGTCAATGATTGCTTTTCCTTGTAAATTTAAAAATACTTGTCATAAAATTTGTTTTTCCATATACCAAATATATCACAGTGATCGGCAAGAGCCTTGCATGCTGAAGTGTGTTCGTGGGGGGGTAGACCTTGCCCTGGGCCGTCGGCACAAACACTGCCAGAGTGCGTGGTTCATATCGATGTCCTCATGGCACTGACAGAGTGCGTGGTTCATAGCGATGTCCTCATGGCACTGACAGAGTGCGTGGTTCATAGCGATGTCCTCCGGCACAAACACTGCCAGAGTGCGTGGTTCATATCGATGTCCTCATGGCACTGACAGAGTGCGTGGTTCATAGCGATGTCCTCATGGCACTGACAGAGTGCGTGGTTCATAGCGATGTCCTTCGTGGACAGTGACTATTTATGTAGATGGGTTTCCGTTGGGCCAAGGGATTCTGTGACCTTCTCATTTGATCATTTGTATGGGTTTGCAGTTCTGTCCTTTGAGCATAATATTTAGAATATTTAGTTTGAGCATAATATTTAGTATTTACCAAGAGTAACACATTTATAAAGCTATTATTTATTAACACTTTTACCTACTGAAGAATCAATACAGTCAAATTATTTGTATCATTTCTTTTGTTCCACATCTGTGCATGAACATGGTTCAGAGACCCAGAAAAGGAAAGAAAAGGAAAAAACAAGCCATAATTTCTTGATAGACTTGCTGTGCAAACTGTACAAATTGCTATCTTAATTACTGTTTTTAGTAATTTTAGTCTCTGAGTTGCTATTTTGGGATCGTCTAAGAGACCTTTCTTTGGAAACACTGTTGGCTCCCAGCTTTATGATGAGAGGGGCAGTGGGAACAGGTTATTGTGGAGGGAGGAGCCAGGAACGGGGCCGCGATGAGCCCCAGAGGGTGGTCTGCTCCGCTGCTCATCAGGAAGGGTCCCCAGGAAGACTCCCAGCAAGCAGCCTCACGGCTCCGGGACTCTCTGCCGGGTCTTCGTGGGTAGGTGATGAGGCTGCGTCAGACAATAAACTTATTTATTTTTGCTGAGAAAAGTAATATCATGATGTTTAAATGATCGTACAGTGATTCATTAGCAGTGAACATGTTCTCTGAAATTTAACTGTCAGTGAGCCACCTTCAAGGTGTGTCTGGTTAGAGGAGATGTCAAGATAAAAATGAAAGAAATACAGCTGGCAGTTTCCTAAAATATAAACTGGACATTTTGTAAAAATGCAGCCGGGTTGTGGACTCCTTCTCCCCTCTGCTTCGACAGGAGTGTTTGGTGGCACGTGGACACACAGTAAAAATATCTGGACCACAGCTGTGGGGGTTGGGGTGATGGTGACTGTTCCTCTTTCTATGTCCTGCGTCTCTATTGTCAGAAGTTCTTTGCAGCCAAAATTGCTGATGGCTCAGAGGAATTGCTTTCTTTCTTTTTTTAAAAGAAGAATTATTTAATTTTATTCACTGTTATTATTTTATTTATTTATTTATTTTTGAGGTTGACCAGAGAGAGACAGAGAGAGAAGGAAACTGAGAAAGCAAACTGCCAGGTCCAGGACTTGAACTGTGGTCGGTCATGTGGGAGTCCAGCTGCTTTAATTACCATGCCACCAGAGGAATTTCTATTACCTAAGGAATCTTAATGCTCATCAAGGGCATTTTTAAAACAAAGTCACCAAAGTCTATGTATCGAGCCAATAGAAAATGATAGCTCTGGTTCAGAAATTATATTTAAAAACAGTGGGTACACAGCCAGAGTTCATTTCCAGTGAAAACAACCTGAGAACTGCAAGACCTGATAGCCAATTAGCGGTTTCTGTCTTTGCCATAATTGCCATAATACAGTGAACCCGGAAGTGAGGGAGCCACTGGGGTACACCTCTGTGTGCTTCACAGGAAGGGTCAGGCTGCCCCATTGTGAAAAGGGCAGACATTCCCAATTTTCCAGATTGTCATTGGGAAAATAAATGAAAGGGAACATACTTTTCTTTTACTTTTTAATTAATTGCCAGAGCACAAGGGGAGATAGAGGCAGAGAAGGAGAGCGTGCCCAGTGGGCCGTGGCCACACTGCAGCCCCTTCTCCATGGTCCCCACCCTGTTGGGATTCGGGACACAGGCCGAGTGGGGTCTGGCTGCCTGAACACTTAGGCTACTGGGGCTGTCCCTAGACTTGTCTTCATATGCGACTCTAAGGCCCGTGTCTCACGTTCTGAGAGGAAACCGTCCCCATTGGCTGTGCTGACTTAACCTGGTTGGGTCACTCACATTTATTTTATTGATAACGTTTAATTCATTAACACTCAAAATTGGATCAAGCTGAACTTTTTTCCTATTTTTTATTTGTATTAATGCAAAGTATTTTGTTTAATTCTTTTTTCATTATAACAATAGTCTTACTAAACAGTTGTGAAGGAGGATCAAAATACCATAAATTTTGTTAAAGTGTAAATGAGGTAGAATAAACTATACATTCTTTGTAAAAATTTTTTCCCATATTCTTACAGTCCCAAAGATACAATGGAACAAGGCTGTATTTTAAAATGTCTTATTTTTTAATTACCAGGGAGCGCGTGCGTTCACCAGAGAGAGAATAGGCTGAGTGGGGCAGTCTGTGCAGCTCCTGCCCTGTTGCCCCATCCTGTTGGGATTTTCAAACCACCCTGTTTTTCAAACCACAGTGACTGGGATTTGAACAGCAGTCGGTGTGTGGGATGCAGCTTTTCTAACCACTAGGCTGTGGGATGGCCATCCAATGCTGTTTTTCATTTGTTTTATAGAGGCTTTTGTCTTAGGGCGCTCACTGGAGAGAGACACAGTGAGAGGGGAAGTGAGGAACACCCCCCGGGGATGGCAAAGCCACAGACCCTTCTCCTCCACTCTCCTCCTGGGGTCTTGGGCACGCACGTACACGAACCTCGTGTGAGTTTCAAACCACCGGGTCCAGGACTTGAGCTATGGTTGGCCATGTAAGCACTACACTGTCTGCTGATCCCCAGTGCTGCTTTTTCAAAAAACAAAAACCAAAATGATTGGTTTTGAATCTTTCTCTGGAGAAGATTCATAATTAGGGTAACCCTATGGCTAAAACCTTATGTTGTTTAATCAGATTCTGTTTTTGCCTACTATGCCAAACTGTCATAAGAAACATGGTTTTGTATAAAGAGATCTCATAATTAGATAAATAATTAAAACAAATAGCTAAGGTAATTAAAAGTAATGTTGCCAATAAACAGAGGACTTTTATTGCCTCGTGACATGTTTAGTTACTTACCACCTTTTAACGTGGAAATTTAGTCTCACTGAAACACGTGTCACGTGGACCGGGTGGCGCAAGGATCGGGCAGCCAGGACTCTGCCCTGATGCAGTGGCTGCTGCGTGCAGACACCGCGGCTCCCTGACCCCCTCCTTTGCATTGCAGAGTGGCTTCACACCCTTGCACATCGCCTCGCACTACGGCAACGTCAACGTGGCTACACTCCTGCGGAACCGGGGAGCTGCTGTGGACTTCACGGCCAGGGTAGGGGCGACACTCCTTGTCTGAGTAGCAGGAAGCCGTGTTGGAGAAAGTGAAAGTTAACTCCATGGGCTTTCGCAAAGGTTCTTTCTTTGTCCTGGCCTGTATCTGTCACTGGAGATATTAGATTTTCTACTTTTTCCTTTGAAATCACATGAAGTTATCGCGACTTGACAAGTGGAAAATAAGACTGTTGTAAATTCGCATGCATGCCATTTGTCTCCCGTAGCTAAGGGCAACATTAATTCTGACGTAGGTGTGAGAAATTGTATTTAAAGAGCATGCCAAGAATCGTGAGCGGCAGTCTAGATCAGTGATTAAGCTGCTCAGATGTCAAAACGTGGAGTGTGCCTCGCGGTCATTGTGGGCCACACAGTGTGACCGAGAATTCTTTTAATAAATTGGGAACTTACTAATCTGAAGGAAAATGATACTGTTTGAATTATATGTTAATGGCATGTTTTATTGGAAAGAGTTCACTTCTAGCTATAAAACTCAGCATACTTAATACTGTGAGCCAGTCAGCACAGTTTGTGAATATTCAAAACTTAGGACACAAAGTAATCAGGTAGATGTCCTAGCCACAAGGTGGACATGATGCCGATAAACTAACAAGTGAATATGAATTGTGTGTGCTGAAGAGCCTTCTGCATGTTGTCTATTATGAAGTTTTTCATACTTAATTATTCTTACTGAAAGAAATTTTTAAGAATCAATTTTCCTTTGGTAACTGATATGTACATTTGAACTGTGTGTGTGTGTGTGTTTTTTAAAGAGACATTTTTGCTATAGGGCATGTGTGTTCGCCAGAGAGACAGAGAGACAGAAGGGGAGAAATCATCCACCAAGGGGGATGGCCACACCACAATCCCTTCTCCTCCATCCTCCTCTCCGGATCTTGGCCACGCACGCTCATGTACCCTCCATGAGCTTTAAGCCCCCAAGTCCAGGACTTGAACTGTGGTTGACTACGTGGGAGTCCAGCGACGTAACTGTTAGCTGTCTGCTGGTTCCTGAACTGTGTTTTAAGCATGGAGAAAAGTCGGGTGTCAGACGTTTACGTGCAGGGTGATACAGAGGGAAGACCTTAAAGTAGAGGTCCATCTGAAGTCACACTCACGCTTGTTCTGCTGTGAAGAGCTGTCTGACTGCGTGTGTGTGTCCGGCACACGCTGTAGTTGTGAGCTCGTTACCCAGCTCCATTTCCTTCTCACTCTTTAACTGTACAGCTTGTGCTTTGTGTGCTTCTTTGCTCCTTAAAAATAGAAGATGACAAAATGTAGAAACCAGGAATCCGATTGCACGCGGGCGCGGTCATGGCTGTCCTGCCGTCACACCCACATCTCTCGCTTGGTCTTTCTGTGGTGTAGAATGGAATCACCCCTCTGCACGTGGCTTCCAAGAGGGGAAACACCAACATGGTGAAGCTCCTGCTGGATCGAGGTGGCCAGATTGATGCCAAAACCAGGGTGAGTGGCCCCAACCCAAAGGGGCATGGCTGCTGCTTTCGCCCTTTAAACAGAGAAATGTTCAATGTTTAATTTCTGTCTTTTAGATAATATAATAGAGCTTCTACATATGGATGTTTTTACTAATGTTTTCATTGAGTCAACAGGTGGAATGGTGGTTAAGGCATTGGACTCCCACATGGCTGGCTGTGGTTCGAGTCCCAGAGCCAGTGACTTGAAAATCACACCAGACATGTGTATGCGTGCCTAAAATCCCAGGAGACTGGAGGAGAAGGGGCTGCGGGGTGGCCATCCCCTCTGGGGAGTGACTTCTGACTTTCTCATGTCTCTGTCACTCTCTTTTTGGCAAAACCTAAAAAGAAAAAAAAATTAAATTCTTTTTTTTTCCACAAGTGAAAGATAGAAAGATGGAGACAGGACCCTCACATCACAGTCTACCCTAGTCCCAGCTGCCCGAACGCAGGCACGTGTGTGTACCCGACATGCCAGGGAGGTCTTGGGGTGAAGACCTACAGCCCTTCAGCTGGGTCTGGCTACTCCCCATTGCACCGCTTCCTGGGTCCTGTATATGGAGTTTAACAAGAGACACGATTTGTGTGTGTGTGGTTTTGTCGTAGAGAGCTCGGTTTACCCTAGCAATCACATAGCCTTAATGTTCTGGACTAGGGTGTTCTGTCCTGGATTTCCCTGTGACCTCATTTTTGTCATTTATCAAGTTTTTATTTTCTGGAGAGAAACAAGTTCTATAGAGGCTTTTGGGTAATTAAAAAACATGCTTAACCCACAGCTTCTCCCTACCCTCACCACTGTTTTGGTGGTTGGCGAAACAGGTGGCATCCTGCCAGCGCTTTGCCACTGGGCAGCCCTAGGGTGAAACTCAGAGACTCGTCAACCAGAACCTTTTGCTGGTATCTGGAAACTTCATTTTAAATGTGGAAGCATAAACTTCATAGCTGCTTAAAATGAATGTGTTAAGTCAGGCTTTAGTAAAGGCATTATTCTTTTTGGTTTTAAACTTATTTGCTATTTAAATATGGAGATAGCTCATGTAAGCATTATGTTTGAAACATTGGCATATGCATTTCAGTGTAGACAATGAAAGTATATGTAAAACATTAAAGGGTTATGGATGGAAGCACAGCGTATTAGAAAAAGCAACACCCTTTCTCTTGTTAGACGCAAATCATTAAGTATCGACCAGAACGGTCACGTGCATTTGTCATGCGTGTCAGGCTCCGCGTATCCTGCTGAGCCTTCTAGAAATGTAATCTTATTCCATCGTGCTAACAACTTCTGAAATATGTATTACGTCCTTGTCTGCCTCCGAGGATGAGACCATCAAAGGAAGTGCCTTTCAGGGTTACGTAGTGTGTCTGGGGTGCACAGTCCGACCCGTGGCAAAGCCGTCTGTGCCCAGATCTCAGGCACGCTGCCAGGAGAGTAGCCTGTGCACAGGGCCAGGCAGCGAATACGTGAGGGACGTGCTGGGGAGAAAGGAGTGTCGTGGTAACCAGCGTTGGCGCGAGCCTGTGAGGGGGCTTCTCTGCTGCAGGGCCCCATCACAGTGTGCTCAACCTGGTTCTCGTGGGGCAACGAGAGAGGACAGGAAGAGGCTGTGAGGGGCAGAAAAACGTAACCTGTCAGCAGAGGCTTAAGAACTGAAGAGAAAAGGTCTGGAATATGAAACTTTGAAAAGAATATTCTTAGCATTAACTCAATACTGTGCATTGTAGAAAATACTCGAAGTCGCATCCGATGCGCCTGTCGTGATGTGAGTTGGATGCTGTGTTTCATCCCCCCTGAGGGCAGGCGCCTGTATCACAGGCCGTGAGATCCAGAGCCGGTTCCCTCTCGCTCCTTGCTGTCCCCGCGGGGTCCTAGACTCTGCGTGACATTCCTGTGCCACTCTGGGACGATTTGGAGGTTTCCGCGTGATTATGCTGCGAGCATTTCATGTAACTCACAGAAAATGACACGATCTTTTCTAAGAACGATGTGAGACAGCATGCTCTTCCTTGGCTTTCAAACAAGACTGCAAGTTAAGTCAGGTGAAAGTCAGTCCCTGCACTCGCGGTCATTCTGAGCCGGAGGGGACCAACGGAGGGGCTGATCCGCGTCGATGGGGCACTAAGACTCCATGCTGAACC